TTGGATTCCCTGAGTTATTTTTTGGGTATCGATGCGTCTCGTCATCCTAGTGGCATCTTTTTTAGTCAAAACACTTATGCCTTAGAGATCATCGAACGTGTTGGCATGGCATCCTACAAAATGTTTGTCACTCCTGTTGACACCAAGCAAAAACTTAACACCTCCTCTGGCACGCCTTATAAGAAGCCTTCTTATATCGGAGTCTTGCAGGGGCTTTACAGTATCTCACCTTCACTCGACTTGACATATCATATGCATTTTAGCAAGTTTATCTTCACATGCATGCACCTCCCACATAACACATGCTTGCTCTTAAACGCATTCCGCGTTATGTTCATGGTACAATACATCTTGGATTACATTTATCAGCATCCCCTTACACAACTCATTCCTACACCAACGCTGATTGAGGTGGATGTCCAGGAACCAGACACTCCATGTCTTGAAACTGTGCCTTTTTAGGTGACAACCTTATCTCTTGGTCTTCCAAAAGAAAACTCATTCTTTCTCATTCTAGTGCTGAAGTCGAATATAGAAGTGTTGTTAATGTTGTGTCTGAGTCTTGTTGGATTCGTAATCTTCTTCTGAAGCTCCATTTTCCTATTCCACGTGCCAATTTGGTGTATTGTGACAATGTTAGTGCCATTTATCTTTCTGGTAATTATGTGCAACATCAATGTACCAAACATATTGAGATGGACATTCTTTTTGTTCGAGAAAAAGTAGCTCGTGGTCAGACATGTGTTCTTCATAATGTTCCCTCCCGACATTAGATTGCAGATATCTTCACCAAAGGACTTCCTCACATAAATGAGAAAAGCAAGCAATTATATTATCTTACAATAAGAAATTAATAAGGTTAGTAACATCTTATATCATATAAGTGTCGGACGCCGACATGCATGTCAGACATCGCGACATACATATTCCTAAAAGTCTTTGTGCTTCATATTTCATAACACGAAACTTGTATATCGTAAATACCACTTCAATTGTTAAGGTCTTAAATCAAACAATATTTAATTTGAACATGTATTTTAAATGGAGAAAATTCTCCTCTTATAAATCAGTTTTGTATGAATAAATTAATTCCGACCCAAATTATAATATCAAGCCACCAAATTAATTATTGAATCCTTACAAATAACCATATCAATCAATCTGAATCACAATCTCATATAGGACACACTAAAATCTTTATGGTAAAGCTCATCCAAACTTTACCATTTTGAATGGTTGATAAAACTGAATGAGACAACTTGCACAAGCTTTACCCTTCAGAGATAACCTCCTTTGAGAAAATCACTTTTATACTTTCTTAGATTTAGTTATAGATTTACAATATTACCATGAATAATTATTTTTGTCATTTTCTCACCCTCAAACCATTGATAGTTTCCAAACCAATAATAGAGTTCATGAAAAACATGACATTGACACTTGAAAGTATCTTAAATAACGATATGCTTTTTACCTTTAGTTTCAATTAATTTCTCTGCAGCTACTGTAATTTTATACTTCATTGATTAATAACTTTATGCTAATTATATAATGGAAAAATTTAACTAAGAAAAAAAATACAAAAATGTTATTTTTACACTTTTACTACGCCAAATATTTATATCATATATATTGTTCACCATATTTATGTTTTTATAAATAGTGTGTAAACAGTGAATATATCTATGAACAGTGACTCTAAAATAATGAAATAAAAATAATTTATAAAATATAAAAAGTTAATTAATAAAATAATAAAGTTGGTTAATATAGGCTTAAATGTTAAAATAAATGTTTAATAGTAAACCAAAATTGATTAAAGAAAAGTAAAAATTAGTTACTAAAATTATAAAATTGGTTAATAAATGTTCATATATTAAAAATGGTTAAATATGTTTGTAGTTCTTTTAAATATTTTTAATTTCGATATTAGTCTCTTAAAATATTTTTTTTAAAGAATGGTCCTCCTAAAAAAAATTTCCACATTTTCAGTCTCTAATACTAAAACCCTCGTTAAAATTGTCGTTAACTCGCTAAGTTAAAAAAACGTCGTTAATTTTGTCACTAAATTGTAAAAATTGTCGCTAAATTGCAGGAAAGACAAAAATGTGGGTTAAAAATTTTAGGAGAATCATTCTTTAAAAAAAATATTTTGAGTGACTAAAAACGAAATTGAAATATTTATGAGGACTATAAATATATTTAATCCTATTAAAAATAATTTTTAGTAGTTAACAAAATTAGTTAATACAATATAAAATATTGATTAATAAATATATAAATTAGTTAATTACACAGTTTTATATTAATATCATTTAATCTAAATTAAAATAAATAATTTTTTATATTTAAAAAAAATTATTATAATATTTATTAGGGTTAAATATGTTTTTGGCCCCTATAAATATCTCACATTTCATTTTTAATTCCTATAAAAAAAAAGGACATATTTTAATCTCTACAAAAATTATATGCATACAGTTTTAGTCCTTACTAATTTCTAAAATTTTAAAAACTATTTAATTATTCATAAACTTTTAAATTTTTGAATAATTTTTTTTATTTACTATAAAATATTTCTTTACCAAACTATATAATTTTTTAAAATGAGAAGAATTAAATATGAATTTTGAAATTTGAAAAGATAATAATATAAGTAATGAAAATCTTGTCTTATAAATTAAATTTTGAGTTTTAATTTTTTTCGAAGAACTTTTTATAGTGTTCTAAATATATTTATAAAATAATTATTAAAAATATACATTAGTTTAACAGTAAAAACTAAAATTACGTGTATAATTATTTTGTAAGAATCAAAATATATTATTTTTTTTACAAAAATAAAAAATAAAATTTAATATTTTATAGGGATAAAAAATATTTTATTCAGCAATGGTGAATAATAAAATATATTGTAGGTGTAACATTGTAAGAATAACATTTTTTAAAAATGGTAAATTTGTTGACTTTGTGTGAAATAATTGGAATACATTGCAAGTACTTTTAAAGTTGAAGATTTATGTCCATCCAGTTTGTACTACACACAGTTAGGTTAAAGTCTTGTATCAATCACTATCTATCATTGAGTACTTGTGTGCCTTCTCCATTCACTAGATGACATAAAGAAAACTCCACATACTCACTCTATTATGAAGTTGACCAAAAAAAGTAAAATAAATTGAAGCATGTAATATTTGTTCTAAACTTTCTTGTACAATGTTGTAAAGAAATTTTAAAATATAAATGAATTACATACATTAATAAAGGTATTCACCCTAATTAAACAACCATGTAGACGGCCTATAATTCAAACACTGAAAGTCTCATAAAGGGTTATAGGAGAAATCAGTTCAGGTCGTTCGACCCGAATCTATATTTGTCAAACATCAATCTGACTAAGTTATAATAGACTTTCGATTCTCTTGAGCATGATGGTTTAGGTGGGTTGGAATATTCATAGCGCCTTACCGAATGTCTTATGACTCCGAGACCTACTTCATATATAAATCGTGGTCGAATAAGTTGAGTCAAATATTACGTCGCTACTAACTTATTCTATCATTAAGAGAGTACGGTTCCACTCACTCATATGATCCGGTTAAAATTCTAAAACCAATGTCGAAATTCAAAAGAATAGGAAATGACTTTTCTTTCACTCGAACAACCCCAATGCCTCTATATATATATTCCAACACTTAAAATTGAAAGAATTCATTCTTTATTTCACGTGTATTTAGTTAAAAAGAAACCCTCTTACGGATCTCTTTTATGAGTATGATCATCTCTATTATGCTTTTCCAATATATGTATATTCCGTCACGCTTTCACTAATTACTCGACTCTTAATTTAGGTTGAGAATTAATAATCATATATTCACATCATTAAACAAATTTGTAAGCTACAATACAAAAAGCTATTAGTTTTAATTGGACACTATTAAGGAATCTAATTAAGGTTGAATGATAAATTATTCATGGACATTAACAACACACCATCATGTGAGGATGGAAAAAAGCCTAGGATAATGGCAACTGATAATCAACATGACATGATTACTAGTCTATTACTGTTTAATTACTCTAAAACAGTATCAAATTCTTCTTGAGTTAAACTGATAATCAAGTTTTGAGGGCCACTTTCCTTTTTAAATAGTCACACTTGGAAAAACACTCCATATGAGTCCATTGAATACTCGCATCAAGTATAACCATTGATTTGTAGCACATTATTATACGATCAGTATATGACCTTCTTCGAGAGTATAAGAATAGATTAACACACATGACATAAAAAATGTTACAGTTAAATTGTGACTAACTAACACGGAACGGACTCTGACTTATATTACTTTTAAATTTGTTCTGAAGTTTTTCAACAAAACAAGTATTGTGAAGAATATCAAGCATCCAATTTATGTTACCCGAGTGTAAAAGTACAGAAGATTTCAAGACAGCTTACACGTGTTTGACTGTGTCCCCAAATGGTATATCTAACTTCACCCATCCATTTTCTGTCCCCACATAGCATAATTTTTCTTCTTCATACATTAAGCATATCTATTCAACCTCCACAGCCCCATCAATCACATTATTCACATCTATGTTGGAATTTGATTTCGTGCATCTATCGCGCCACGCACTTTCGCATTTCATCCGTCTGATCTCAATTCAACGGCCGAGATCATTCACAACACATTTGTTCTTTTGTAATCTCAGTCGTTTGATCATTCACTAACAACCAAAATGAGTTACATCAGGAAAGTGTGTGGAATCACTATTGCAGGTTGTCCTGGTCACATATATGTGTATATATATGTATATGTATTACCGAGTGCTACAAGAGTTGTCCACTATTCTCAAACTACCTCTCTACCATAAGTAGGATTCTACTTGTCTAAAAAGCCAACATCGAATTTTAAGCTAGAGATTTTTATAAAAAGATAATAACCCTCACGTTAACAAGAATCCTTTTGACTAATGCTATAAGAAAGTTACAAAAAATGGAAGCTGTTAAGCAGGTACCGAGCGAAACGAGAGACGCTTACAGAGTTACTTACATAATCCATTTCTTGCTCGGCGCAGGAAACTTACTTCCCTGGAATGCATTTATCACAGCAGTTGATTACTTTGCCTACTTATATCCAACCAACCACATTGAAAAAGTTTTCTCCGTGGCCTACATGGTTTCGTCTGTTTTCGTACTTCTTGTGATGATGAGTTGGGGAGGTTGGAGTAAAACAACACTAAGGTTGAGAATGAACTTGGGGTTCTCAATGTTTGTTATGTCTCTAATGGTAGCTCCCGTCATCGACTGGGCCTCGAGTAGCACGACGATGAAAGAGAGACCGAGCGGTGCTTATGGCATGACAGTTGCAGCTGTTGTTATATGTGGTTTAGCAGATGGAGTTGTTGGTGGAAGCTTGATAGGATCAGCAGGAAAGCTTCCAAAACAGTATATGCAAGCTGTTTTTGCTGGAACTGCTTCTTCAGGTATAACTATCAATGTTCCCTTAAAGTTCATCATGTTTATTTTTCTTTTTACAATACTATATATAACTAGTAGATCATGTTTTCCTTATTTGAACAAATTCTAAGGAATATTAAGGACTTTGCCTAAGATGAAACATATACCTGAAATAAAGCAATTTTAAATAATACTACAATTAGTGTTTTAGTCTTTTAAGTATATACAAATCTTTTGAAGGTTTTAGATTCCATAACAGTGATGGATCAACAGCTACCATTATGGGGGAATTAAGAATTTGTCTTAGTATATCCGTCACTGTTCTAGATTTTCTAGTTCTTCATATGTAATAATTTTAGTGTATGTTTACCATCAAAGTGAGTTTGCCAAAATTACGGTGAGTCATGTGATTTTGCAGAAGATAGAGAGTAGCTTCTGCAAAATCACAGTTACTCGTTGTGACTCTGACAAACCCGGATGATACCAAAAATTGTTCAAACTCACAATTTATGCTGTAAACTGAATCAAATCTATAGTACATGAAATCGAGAAATGACTACTCGAACTTTGGAACTAAGTTGCTGTCGAATTTAGTTTTCGTATTAACAAAAGTCTTTTGTGGTTGACAGGTATTATAATTTCAATCTTGAGGATAATAACAAAGGCCTCACTACCTCAAACTCCAAAGGGTCTCAAAATAAGTGCTCACTTGTACTTCATGGTATCCATAGTTTTCCTTCTATGTTGCATTGTGTTTAGTAACTTGCAACACAAGTTACCTGTGATGCAGCAGTATCAACAGAGCCAACTTCAGGATAGTGCCTTATGCTCCAAGACAAAATTTTGTGCAGTGGCAGGGAAAATCAAGGGTCCGGCTTTCGGAATTTTCATAATCTACATAGTAACTCTATCTATCTTCCCAGGATTTATCGCAGAAGATCTTGAATCCAAGGTTCTTAAGGATTGGTATCCGATAATACTGATTACAGTTTATAATTTAGCCGATCTTATGGGAAAATCATTAACTGCTTTCTATGTTCCGCAATGTATCAAAAGAGCTATATGTGCTGCCACAGCAAGGCTATTATTCTATCCACTTTTTATAGTCTGTCTTCATGGACCCAATTGGTTGAAAACCGAAGTTCCAATGATTGTTCTTACATTTCTACTAGGATTCACCAATGGATACCTCACTAGTGTTCTTATGATTCTAGCTCCCAAGTCAGTGCCTTTCTCGGAATCAGAGTTGTCGGCTATTGTGATGACCGCGTTCCTCGGATTCGGGTTGGTTGGTGGTTCGGTCCTCGGTTGGTTCTGGATATTGTGAGTGTGAAGGTGTTTAGTTCAGGTGAAATAAATTGAGCAGAAGAAGAAAGTAGCATTCATTGTAGACTCAAGTAGTTGTTTCTATATTTGTTGTCTAATGTTTTTGAGTGACAAATCATGAGAAGTGTGAACATTGTTAGAAACTTCTAGAAGTATAAAATGTGATGTAATGAATTTTACAAAGTTTAGGAAAAATACTAAGAATGCAAGTTAAAATAATCAGTGTGTCCGAATTTTACTATCGAGACAAGTTAAAATAATTAACTTTTTAATTTACAAAGTTTAGGAAAAATACTAAGAATGCAATGAGCCATCTCTAACTTTTTAAAACCATTTAATAAATTTTTTGACGCAACATATATTTTTCAATTCTTTAATTAAAATCATAAAACTGGAAAAGAGAAATCTATCTCACAACGCACATATCACACTTACGCACGCATACATATGATACACGTGTAAGTTTTAAGATTGAACTAGTAAGATATTCGTGCGGTCGCACAGATAAATTTATTTGATACGATATAAAATGTATTTAGATACACATGTAAATTTGAAATGAGTTAATTAATTATAAAATTGATCAATAATCATATAAACTCAATTGTATTAAATAAATATTAAAAAAATATAAAATAAAGAAATATTTGACATTTGAAAAAAAGAGACCCTTAAAATGATCAATGATCATATAAAATCAAATATTAATTAACATAAAATATGTATCATGATGACAGTCCTATCATCCGTAATATGGAATATTTTAATTAACTTTTACCAATAACATAATTATTTTAACTACATAGATTTAAGTTATACTATAACTAAAATTTAGAAAATTGAGTAATTTAGAAAATTGAGTAGAGATAAAGATTAAAAATAATAATAACATAAGAGACCAAAATTATTTTTAAAAAAATAAAGGCCAAAATTATAAATGGTGATATTTGGAAAGTTTAATATGTTGCTTAAAGTTAGGTCTATATTAAATAATAGGATAAGGTCGGTTAAATATGTTAGACATTAACAACAACTAAACTAAATAATAAAGATTCTAAGAATAGTATAGAAAAAATTGACAAAGAATATTCTATTTTTTTCTTCATAAAATCTCGAATCCGTACTCTCTTCAGGTTCGAGAAATAACACAGCCTCATTCAAAAATTTGCACTCTTGCAATCAATGGCACGATGAACCAACCTTTTACAGTTGAACCATGTTAGAGAAGTAGAAGTTTCTCCTCCACTTAATACAATCATGCTCCTGTTGTCAAGCGGTTAGAAAAATAAACGAGCACCAACAGTGTTTCGCACACATGTCGAATACCTGGGAATAAATAAAAATCACAAAACCTGGTCAGACAGACCGACCTGCTCTAATACCAGGGAATAAATAAAAATCACAAAACCTGGTCAGACAGACCGACCTGCTCTAATACCAACTATGTAACACCCTATTTTCTAACTCGCAAAATAATACAATCATTCAAATATAATTTTCACCCAATGGTGTCACACATTCTTAAATAAAACACATGTTATTAAATTAAACAACTCGCAACAGAAAATGAAAACATTTAACAATACTTTCACATAGTCTCATGAAATGAAATTACTCAATTTAAAACATCAGTTGCAAAAAATAACTCAACAATCATCCAAATAAAAGAAACAATGTCTCATCCCTTGTGTTACAATACTAGAGTAGCACAACACGTATGATAATATATCGGCAAGTGTACCGATAATATCGTAGTAATAAAAAGATTGAACTCACAAGGATTATGTTCGAACAAGACAATGATTTGTGCAATTTAAACGAGAAAAGTTTCAGTGCGAAAAGTAATTAAACGAGAAAACAATGGCACGAAAGCGGTCAAGTTGTGTATTAGAATCCCCTTATCCTCTCTTGTTGATGTATGATGCCTTGTATGAATGGTCTTATCCTTATAATTTCACAACGAATTAACAAAACCGATATAGTCAGTCCCCCACGAAATAACTCACTAACAACTACTTAAAGCTTTATATTCCTAGTTCGTTAGCGTAAGCAATGTCAGGCGATGTACAAATCGTTAATTTCCTATGCCACTACTCGGGGTCTCCTATCTCTAGTTAACCAGCATAAGTAGAACAGTTATTGTAGGTCCAACACATAGGCTACAGGTCAGAAATCCCTATGTGTCAATTATCATATTAACAGAGTATCTCAAATAAAAAGCATTAAGAATAAGCAATAACTGAATAAAATTATAATTCAAAGGATTCATACAAATTCAAACCAACATATAATGTCAACAAGATTAAATAAGGTTCATCATCACACAACCTAACCTAGGAGAATTTAGCTACACATTATTCAGAAAAGAATACCACAGCTGATAGATAACAATAACATGAGAAGTTCCTTAAAGAGATAGCCTTAAATGCTCTAAAAATATCATTTTGTGCTCCCAAACTCGTGCTTTCTTCTCCAATTTTTGTAACCTTTATCAAATAGCAGAAAATCCCCTTTAAAATCAGTCAGAACGCGTCAGATAAATCCCAAAAAATCACTCATCGCCCATTATATAAGCATCACACGTTGATGCACTTTATTCGCCTCTATTGGCACACAATGGTGTGCAATGGTGCGCGTGATTATTCCAGTGGCTGTGTGAAAAACACTCCTTTTGCACTAGAGTTTTCACTAAGTTTCATTCTTCCGTACTTGGCTATTTTTCACTCTTTCTTGGGTCTTTCTTCATCATTTTGACTCATCTTTCGCTTGTTTTTTCCCGATTCTTCGACTAATTAGATGCAATAACAGACTGTCGTTAGAGTACTAAACAAAATGGAAAACAATGAAGAAGGCAATAATTGTCATTCATCCATACAACACCGCTACATACTACCTATATCTGCAACATGGGCATAAAAGCCATGCACAACAAAAAGGAAGGGGTGACAATAATTCTTACAAATGTTAGTGGTAAAAGTAAACAGCATGACAGTTATAAAAATTCACAGATCATTCTCACACAGCAACAACAACAATGCAATGCGAAATTCACCAACTTCTCCTCAAATATGCATGTGGTATCGAATTTTGGGCATCAAAAGTTGTGTTACATATTTATCACTATCTTCTATTTCTCTTTGAACGGTGTTGCGGTGAAATTTGGATGTCAAGCTATTAATTAACTTGAATCTTAATTCATTTACAACCGGTCTTTGATTTATCCGAAGGAAAGGTTAAAGAAAGGAAAAACCTAAAAGGGAGAGATCTAAGGTTCGGGAGTTGGTTAAATTTAGGGAAGGTATTAGCACCCTAAACTTCTGTAGTACTCTACGGGAACCTTTTGTTTATTTTTTTATTTGTTTCATTTTTTTGCTTTAAGGGTATGTACAAAGGATTAAGGTTTAATTCTAAGATTACTTGGCAAGACGTCGAATCTTGTGCCTACATATCCTTACGGGAATGGAATCAGAGTAATTGTAGTTCCCCTCAAAAGGGAGGTTAGAGACTTCTTGACTGTGGTCAAGGTCTCAAGGGGAATAAACGCATCTTAAGGACACGCTTACATGGAGTCTTAAACTCCGATCTCTATGTTATAAATTGTTAAGTGCATTAGGGTTAGGTTAGGGATTCCGCGGCGGGAAACCCTAAAATGAGTGCGGCGACTCTTTGACCTAAAGCTAGGGGTAGTTTTGTAATTTTATCCACGGCGAGACATTTGTGAAAAGTTAGGGTTTGTAAGGGTTTGAAGTTTTGAGGACTATTGGTGTGGCGGCCAAACGGCTAGACCTAATCCTTCGGAGGAATGCAATGGGACAAATTAACGATGCAAATGCGCGAATTTAAACCATACAAACAGCAGAAATTAAAGTGCGGAAAGGTAAACGCGATAATTTGTTCGCGAAGTTACAAATGAGAAACAAATACAATTATAATACAACTTGAATTGAAAAACACATTAAAATAGCTAATAGCAACGTAACAAGCTGCACATTGAATACACAAGGTTAGTAGACAGAGTCAGACAGTAATCAGACGAGTTATGAAACGGAAGTGCGAAAGTTATAGATATTCTTTGTTGTTTATTTGTGATATATAAAAAAGCTTTTGATTTAAGTTAAAAAAAAGTAGTTTTAATATTATTAAAAAACAACTTTTCAAAAATAGTCTTAATTTAATTATCTAACAAAAAGGTTTTATTTTTAAAAAAAAAGGTTTAATGTTATTATTATATATTTTTTTTAAAACGGTTCTAGTTATTATTTTAAAAAAAGATTTTAGTTATTATTTTAAATTTATCTAAAAAAAAGTTTTTCTTAAAAATAATAGGTTTTCATATTAATTTGGAAAAGATGTTAATGTTATTTATTTTAAAAAACAGATTTTTATATTATAACAAGTTTTAATAAATTAATGATAATAATAATAATAGTAATAATAATGATAATAATAATAAATAATGATAATAATAATAAATAATGATAATAATAATAATACTAATAATAATAATAATAATAATAATAAATAATGATAATAATAATACTAATAATAATAATAATAATAAAGCAATAATGAATTTTAAATGTGTCAAATAACCCAACAATGTTGCTAACGCAGAAATGCGCTCAGCGCAACCAGATCTAAATCGGACGAAACAAAATTTATCGCAAAGAAAAAGAAATTAAGCAAAAAAAACAGTATTATTGCTCACACAAAAATGCGATCATCGCAACCAGATCGAACTAACACAAATGTCACGCGTCATGCACACAAATGTGCAAACATCGTATCGATATAATTCGATCAAAAATTAATCTTATATATATATAAACTCTAACAATTTAAAAATTATAAATATATAAACGTAACAGTAATAGATAAAGAAAAAGAAATAACGGTAATAGATGAAGAAAAAGAAATAACGGTAAAAGATGAAGAAAAAGAAACAACAGTAATAGATGAAGGAAAAGAAATAACGGTAAACGATGAAGAAAAAGAAACAAC